CGCCTCATCCAAAGTCATCAATAAAAAAGATCATCTGTCAAACAGAACAGACAAAGAGGAGATAGATTGATTTCTTGCAGTTTCTGGCACAAAACGTTACAAGGTTATCTGCCCCAAACAAATGGTAAAAACAGGGAATACAAAGTATGTTAAAAGTTTCATATGTATAATTACTATACAATTTAGGTGTGGTAAAAACACAATTAGTATACATTTTAGGTGTCATATATAAAGGTGTCTATTTTAGGTGTCGTATATAATAAAAGTCAGTCTCCTTTAAAAACTGGAACAACTTGCGATGATGGTTTTCCCCCCCTATTAAGTTGTTTAAATCTGATTTTAAACATTTAAAACGTTTTTGGCGAAAGATAACTAAAACTCCAACATTATAACAAAATATGGCCTACTGTCAGATTTTCATTACAATTTGTGCAATGGGGATTCTTGCCGTTTCAGCAGATATTCCTGAGTCCAGTCCACAATGACCTATTCTCAACCGGGTCAAGATAACTAACTTGTTCTCCTCTATTTGCCATATACAGCCAGCATTCAATTGTGGATTTAACATTTCTCAGCTCGTTAATCGTTTGGTCACCCAATGCCTCTCTGCCATTTATTAAAAAAGATTCATCATCGTACTAATATCTATGAGTGGAATCTGGGAATTGGATATTGTATTTAGCAGTTTTAGCTGTAATGTCCGCAAGTTCATTCGCTTTTATGACCACCCTGGCCAGGGATCCAGAAATAAAGAATCTGATATCCTCGATATTTTAGTCTGATTAAGCTTCAGAATTCTGGTAATACTGCAATGTGAATTTATACTTAAGCTCTTTCAATGATGTTAGGACACTCAAGGAATCTGTATAGATAACGAAAGTCCTGCAACGTTCTTTTGACATAAATGTTAGAACATGACAAACTTTTTAATCCATCTGTACAGAGGGATATCATTTCTGTATTTGTGTCTCTGTTTCACAATGATCTGGCTGTAAATAACATCTGTATTTGTGTCTCTGTTTCACAATGATCTGGCTGTAAATAACATACTTTATTGAGTTGGTGTGTTCTTTTTGGAAGTATACAGTGTGAACTCTGTATAAAAGACAAAGTAGCGAATACTCGCTATGTCTTTGAAGAATAAATACTGCAGAAGAAGGTTTTAAATAACCTTTATATTTCAACTAAATTGAACAGATGCATGTACTTGGTGCTCACAATTCACCACCACTTGTGGCTAACGAAATTAACAGAAAATAAAAATGTGAAATGCACATTAAATTAAGATGGTTATCGATTGGCTCCTTAGCTTAAAACTAAACGCTAAATTGGCTGCACATGACAAAGCCCGGCCTAGGAATATCAGTATGAACTGAAAGGTGTCTAACGCTGACTAGAGAGCTAATTGCAAATTCGGAATTATCTCTGCTACTACTCCTTTTCGAACTTTTGAAACGCAGCTCAAATACTGCTTCTGAAACACACTTAGATTAGCACATGATGTCTTTAAAAATTTACATTCCATCAGGAGGGAAAGGAAAGCAAAACTAAAAACAATTGGTTAGAAATAAGTTCGTTACAACTTGTGCTAGATTTATCCCAGTGTTGGAAGCTGTCTAGAGAATGAATTTTCCAGTCCTCCTATGGTGGCATCTCAAAAATATTCTCCAGCTGTGTGTATTTATGTTGTCATGTTGTACTGTTTACTTTGGTGTTCTTAAACCAAACAATGGGATAACTGTTGGGCATGCCCAATTATAAACGGGAGCATGAATCATTGAGTAAGTGTAGACGGATGGGATTCTGGATCTGTGTTTAAAATAGGACTTAAGACAAAGGTGCTTGCTCCTTAAACTCAGAGAAGTCTGATTGCTTTTCACTGAAGAAGTTCTAAACTCATAAGCATAGATCCCAATTGCTTGGTGGTGTACTGGATCAAGTTTGTCGAGCACGAAAGACCTTACTGACCCATAAATGGCTGATCCATAGTCGAGTATTGAACGGATAAGGGACCTATATATAAGAAGCAATTATTTAAAATTTTTTCTTTGTTCATTTGTTTTTGATTCAGGCTTTTTTTTTTTTTTTTTTGTGTTCTGTAAACTGTGAAAAGTTTGGGTGCATATTGATTGATAAGATTTGGTGGCTTCAACATAAGAGACAAGTCTTTCTTGGTTGACCTGTGTTGTACAGTTTTCTAGCCTCAGGATAAGGAGGTTTTATTTAATAATTTTAATATGCTGTATTTCTTTCTTTCCATTTAGGCCATTTCGTGAGTATGACGGACGGTCGGCAAGACAGTTTACGCATTTTGGATCGGCTGTTTAGTCCTAACTTTCACGTCCGATTACAGAGCAGCGAGCGCATGCCAAGTTTCCACCACATGCGGCTTTTGGATGACCAATCCAATGGCACTTGAAAGCAGCATAGTGGGTTCAGAATGTAAGGTCTGATGGGACAATTGAAGTATCCTGCCTTTATGGCTTTTGGTAGATCTGGAGATGAGCATGTCAGGATATATTTTGCGTTAACTATGTTCCATCCCTATGGATTATAATTCGACTAACTTCAGATACATTTTGCTCAGCTAGTTTTTCTAACAGGTCTTCCTTCCTCAGATACTGATATCTCATCTATTTCTGAAACAACACCTCAGGCTGAGTTCAAAGACTTATGTGGGGACACATTAATAGAAGACTTATGTTCAAACACTTATGTGGAGTCGCCCATGTTTCTGATTTTGGGAAGAGAGAAGGATTGTGCATCAGATATCATTTAAATAAGCAAAATATCTTGAACTGAGCTTTTTTATGTATTTTGTGCCTCCAGCTGCAGCCAAAATATACTCGTGGACAAGGAATGGTGATAGATTTCCTAGTTGACCAATTGTCGCGTAGATGAGGGGATCCTACAAATGAACAGGCAAGTACAAGTCTAAACTCAAGACTTTTTATTAACTAGAACTGAATGAAGAGCTACTTATATACAGCTGGTGAACATGCTGAAACATTCCATACTTGGAATGTTCTGGAAGAATAAGAAGGAAATTTACATAAATAAGATAACATTAACAACAAGGATATTTACATAAAAACCAATTATCGGGCATCTTGCCGTTGATGGGTTTCGAACCCGGTACTTTCAGGTTTCGAGTCCTGCGCCTTCTCCACTAAGCTATGAGGAGCTCGTTTGAAAAGAGCGATTTTCGCTACATTATCCCTTTCTTAGGAAGAAGCAGCGTCCCGCTGCGTTCTGGTCTGGCTTCTTGTAACAGGTCTCCTGGAAATATTGGGCTTTCTTTCATCGTCCAGTTGTACTTTCGGATCAAGATAGGGCTTCAACCTCAACACGTGAACGATGTCTTTTGAATTCCGTCGTTTCTTATTTTGTTCCATACTTTCTACTTCGTACGTCACGTCAGAGAGCTGTCGTGTTATTCGATACGGTCCAAAGTAACGTCTTAGAAGCTTTTCGGATAACCCAACCTTTCGTACTGGAGTGAAGACCCAGACAAAGTCTCCAATGTTGTAGCTGACAGGTCGATGTCTCTCGTTGTATTGGCGCTTGTCTGTGGTTTGCGCTTTAAGAATATGGAGTTTTGCAAGCTGTCTAGCTTCTTCAGCTCTAGTGATCAGATGTTGCGCATAACTATCTTCGGGATCTTCGATACTGTATGGGAAAATTACGTCGAGAGGAGTCATATCTCTGCCATAAATGAGAAAGAATGGGCTGAATCCCGTTGTGTCTTGTTTGGCTGAATTATAGGCATAGGTTACAAATGGTAGAATAGTATCCCAATTTTTCTGTTCAATGTCTACATACATGGACAACATGTCTGCCAATGTTTTATTGAATCTTTCAGTTAAGCCATTGGTTTGAGGGTGGTAAGCAGTCGTCAGCAGATGAGACGTCTTGCATAGATGAATTACTTCTTTAACAACATTGGATAGGAAGTTGCGTCCTCAGTCACTTATAATTTCTTTGGGGGCACCATGCTTCAGTACAATTTCTTCAACTATAAACTTGGCAATTTCAGTGCCCTCAGCTGTCGGTATTGCCTTTGTGACTGCAAATCTGGTAAGGTAATCTGTGCAAACTATAATCCACCGGTTCCCATTTCGAGTAACAGGAAAGCGTCCAAGTAAATCTATTCCAATTTTTGTAAACGGTGTGTCAGGAGGTTTTATCGGATAAAGCTGTCCTGGTGGACGTTGCGGCGGTGATTTCCGTCTTTGGCATTCTCGGCAGTGTGATACATACCGCCGTGTGCTTCCATATAGCCCTGGCCAATGGTACTTCCTCCTTATTCGGTCGTGCGTTTTGGCAAATCCGAGATGGCCAGCGGTTGGAGCATCATGAAGACTTCTTAGAACCTCGCTACGAAGTTGCTTTGGTACCACCAAGAGCCACTGCTGTCCCATAGGGTCATAGCTTCTTTTGTACAGTATACCATTTTTTATTTGATAATTTTGATATGCGTCACCTCTCTTGAGAGTTGTAATGATGGATTTTAATTGTTTGTCCTTCTGCTGCTCTTTTCCGTAATCTATGATTGCTGCAAAGAAAGGGATGTCTTCATTGTTCTCAATTATTGGTTCTATAAGAGGCTTCCTCGATAGTGAATCTGCATTGGAGTGCTTCCGACTGCTCTTGTAGACGATATTTATGTCGTACTCCTGCAACCTGCCCATTGGATGGATCCTTGGCCATTGGCTGTGACTACCGTACCTGAATTTTTCTTTCTTTTCAATAAGCACTAAGGGACCTGGATGATAACCTGGCTATACTGCATCCTGATGGTTGTATCAAAACAATCCAGTTCATTTTGAGCATTCTTTGCACTTTTCGTCTGCATATCACACAATCACAAAATATTACAGCCTCTCAGTGTGCTGACACAAAGTTTATGGCCTTTGTTTGATTGTGCACATGTCACATTGTATCAATCTTTTTGTGCATTCACCGAATTGCATCGGGATTTTTTCACAATACTGTTAAAGTCAAAAATGTCACTAAATTCATCTAGTAGACTCAATAGCTCGTCTTCCTCAGCATTGGACAAATCAGTATCAAAAATCTCTTTTAAGTTTTCTTGAGATAACCTTTTCCTGGACCTATGTCCCTTGGGACCTGCTGGAGCCTGATCACTGAGGGAGCAAATAGCGTCGCTTTTATGGTCGTTAAATAGCCGACATTCATCCCTTTCGGTATCAGTTGGGTTCGTCGAGAACAATTAGTTACCCATAATTTACCACAACCATCCTCTATAGTGACAATTGAAGCTGGTATCGATAGTTCTTTTTCGCACATAAGAACTCTATTTCCAACAATCATAGCTTCGTCTGCTTCCCGTAGCTCTGAATTCAAGGCACGTATTCGCTTTGCGATGTTTGCTTCAATTACATAATCGGTTGCTGGCAAACAAGGAGAGCTGTGACTTATTTAAATATTCAATGTGTGGAAGGATTTCTGCAAGTGTAAGTTCTTGATTTCCACAATCGATAACGGCATCGGTGGCACGGAAAAAATTCCATCCAAGTATCATTTGATGACTACATTCAGGAAACACAAGGAATTCAAACGGCTTCTTAGTCCCATTCAAATCAACTTTCAATACACAGCGTCCCGAGGCAGCTACAGTTTTACCACAGGCAGTTTTCAATACAGGTCCATTCTCAGCAAACATAGGAGCATTTAGCTGTCGACGTAACTGTTCAGATATGACAGAATAATCGGCACCCGAGTCAACAAGGGCTTTCACACACTGTCCGTTCACGGTGATAAAAGTGTTATTCTTTTCCAACTTGGCTGTGTTGTACGTCGGAGGATTTTCTTCAACTGCGGCCTCACCTCCTGTACAGGTCGCTTGAGCTAGTTTTCTTCATTGGTTCGGCGTGGGGAACGGCTGGACCGGCGTACTGGTGACTGCGATTGTCGACGATTGAGAGAGCGTCACGGATAAGGTGAACTGCTCCTTATTCGGGAAGAACTAGGTTGTGCATATTCGTCGTCGAAGCTGTATGTAGATTCAGTGTCCCTGTCCCATCGAGGGTTGGATGTCTTTGCGGCTCTTGCATTTTCAAATATCTGGCGTGTTTCCCTACAGTACCTCAGAACATGTCCTCGGCGACCGCAATGAAAACAGAGAGGTACATTATCGTGAGTCCTCCACAGATCTGTCCTACGTTGTGGAGCAGTTCTCTGGCTGGCTTCACGTCTTGGTTGCGACCTAACTGGAAGTGAACATTGGGTAGTGTTTTTGCTTCTCCCTGCTCCTGTGAGTGGTGCCAGCGCCTCTATAACCTCTTCCCGGACCACAGATGCTATGTCATTCGGTGCTACGGGTTCTATTTCCGTGTAGCCCTGAACTTGCGTAAGGACCTTCTGAAGCTCTTCTCTGACGATGGTGCGCACTATAGACTTTAGTTCACTGGCGTCCGCATCGGCCGAGACCGCGGAGACATTAGGCAGCCTCTGGAATCGTGATCGGGCGATACGTCTTCATCGAAGGCTTTCTATGTGACGGCAGCGTTTCACGAAGGCATCGACGCTGCCATAGTCCTGGGATGACAGGACCTGGTAAAAATCTTCAGCAATACCTTTCATGAGGTGGGCCAATTTTTCGTCGTCAGACATAGAAGGTTTTACTTTCCGGCAGAGAGCGAGAACATCTTGAATGTATGCTTCAGACGTCTCATCGATTTGCTGAGCACATGTCAGTAGTACTCGTTCAGCTTGGCGCTTTACATCAGCTGCTCGGAAAAAGGTGTTCTTAAGAGCAGTCTTGAAAACAGTCCAACTGGTAAATGTATCTTCATTATTATCGAACCACTGTCGAGCGGTTCCGCCAAGGTAAAAAATGACGTTCGCCAGACACATTTGATCATCCCAGTGGTTATAGTTGGCGATTCGATCAAAGTCCTTGAGCCATCTATTAGTGTCTTCTTGGCTATCCCTGCTGAATATACACGGGCTTCTGGGTAGTTGGTACGTCAGGATCGGTATTGGTGCGATATTACTTGAAGCGGAACTGGCTGCTGGAGAATTCTGCTCGGATTCCTTCTCATCAACCATCTTTCTCGATCTTTTACGCGAATCCTGTAAGAGCCCAAACTCAGGAGGAAGTCCTCGAATCCGCAGGCTTCGGCGTAACACTGCCGTAGTAACTGAGAAATACCCGGCGCCTCTACCAAACTGTCGCGTAGATGAGGGGATCCTACAAATGAACAGGCAAGTACAAGTCTAAACTCAAGACTTTTTATTAACTAGAACTGAATGAAGAGCTACTTATATACAGCTGGTGAACGTGCTGAAACATTCCAGACTTGGAATGTTCTGGAAGAATAAGAAGGAAATTTACATAAATAAGATAACATTAACAACAAGGATATTTACATAAAAACCAATTATCGGGCATCTTGCCGTTGATGGGTTTCGAACCCGGTACTTTCAGGTTTCGAGTCCTGCGCCTTCTCCGCTAAGCTATGAGGAGCTCGGTTGAAAAGAGCGATTTTCGTTACAATGACTAAGAACTTTCGACTTCGATTCATGTTAACAATGGTAAAAGTGCACATTCGCTTAGCGAAACCAAATTTTTTCATTTCGATGTGATTGGGGGAAGAATTTGAAGTTTCCATATTCTAAGTAGGTAGGATTCAGGTCCAACCACCCCACCCACAAGGACGCAAACATGGAGCTCAACAAGGGAACACAGAATCCTGTGTTAGAGCTAGCCAGACCTATACGCAGACTGAAGTCCTCCAGTCAGCTTTCGTGAACGCAAGAACTTCCGAAAGATTGACTTCAATCTGCTGACCAGTTAGACTAATGACTAGCCGGTTGACACTAGCGGTCACAGCTAAGTGCCTCTCGTTTAGGCAGAAGCAGAGGCCAAAGGATCATGTTGGGGATTGTATTTCGCCCATCAACTAGCAGGATCACATTTTCCTGCCGTACGAGTCTCCATGGGTGATGCTGCGCAGCTTCAACGTTAAACGAGCCCAAAGAGTTACAACAGTGGTTTTGCAAAAAGAAGGCAAGCCAATTGCATACAAATGATGTGCAAATCATTCTGAACTTTCTCTAAATCGACAGTTTCTCTGATCCATTTGAAACAAAAACCTTGGGTGTGTCATGGAAACCAATAAAGGATCGCATTTCCTTCAAAGTAGAGCGTAGTGTTATCATATACATAAGAGATGTATCATATCACATACATAAGTGATGTGTCTTATCTTCAGTTGCTAGATTATTTTACCCTTTTGGTCTTTTTGGCCCAATTATAGCCAAAGCAAAGATTTTTATGCAGAAACTGTGCCGTCTTAAAATTGATTCGAATTATGGACTTCCTTCTGCAGAAAATTAGGAATGGCATCAATTTCTTTGACACTAGAGAGCATAAACAACATCAATATTGACAGACGTGTAGTGATTGATCAAGCTAAAAATGTTGAAATCCATTGTTTTTTCGATGCTTATGAACGTTGTTTCGAAGTAGCAGTTTATTGCAAGTCTGTAGATTTTTCTGGGAGAACATTGGTAAGGTTAATCTTGAGCAAATCAAGAGCTACTCCTTTTAAGAGCCTATTGATTCTCGAGGCTTGAGCTATGTGCCACTGTCCTATCGTCCAGGTTGGTGAAAAACGGCCTTATCACCTTGAAATTAGCAGTGACTCAAGTCTACTTATGGACAGACTCAATGATAGCCCTCGAATGGATATAAAAGGAACATATGGATGATAAGATGTTTGTTCAGCATAGTGTGGCCACAATTCAAGAACTTTTCATCTGTTCAACCGTGGCATCGGATCAGAATCCAGCGGATCTCCTGTCACGGAGTGTGGATTCTGATAAGCTAAGTGCATCACAAATTGTGTTGTCCAGCGTTGCTGGTGGGCAGTGACTATCCAACTCATGCAGTATCTATCTGAGATAAAAGTGAATCATTTTTTACATAATTTACTGAAATTGAGTGATAAATATATAACTATTTTATGTGTTAGTAGTTATATTTTCAGGTTTATTTGAAAATGCCCCTAGCAAGATTGTCACGACCAGCTAAGTGTTCAGCATAGCCAAATATTCCTGATACAACAAACAGAAAATGATTGCTTTGGAGAGGACATCCACCAATTAATACGGCACGAGAACTGTCTTATCTAAAAGTAAGTTAAAAAATGTGTGAATCCCTACCTGGATTCTGATTTTAGTTCTCAGAGGCTGTTTAGCTAAGACAAATCTTACTTATTTTGCTAAACATCTGACAATATTATCTAAAATTCACAAATTTGTGTTATTAATAGCTATTGAACATTATCAAAAAATTTTTTTGCATGTTGATGCAGTCGCGTTATAAATTCACGTGCGCGGAAAGTTCTGACCATTAAGTGGTCGATCTGTTTGACATGAAGTTGTACTTCATTGTATTGTATGATTTAAAAACAAACAATTTGTGTGTCGACAAATAATGGGAAATCTCCGATCAGATGGAGATGTAGCAGATTCTTTTTAATTTAGTGGAATGGACTGCACAGCATTATATTGCGACAGTGCCACAAATCTTGTTGGTGCCAACAAAGAAGTAAAAGGACTTCATAACATAATTAAAATCCCCAAATTAAACTCTAGCCAATTATTTATCTCCCGAGAATATTGAATGGAAATTCATTTCACCTAGGGCACACAATTTTGGAGGCCTCTGGGAAGTTGCAAGTATCATTTTAAAATAGTTGTAGACAGTGAAACATGTGCCTTAACAGTGTGATTGAGCGACCTCTGTGTCTGTTAACAGGTAACGAACATGATTGCAGAATAAATAAGGAGAGGAATAAATGAATAATTTGAAATATATTTAATGGGCTGTATGCGGGAAAAAAATATAAAGGTAATATGAAAACGTTGGGCCAACATGGAGTTTTTAACAAATAAAATAAATAAATAAAAGAACATACTTTATGAATTTTAAGTTGGAAATTATCAGTGCCACTATTAAAAATGTTCACACATAGACCCACCGAAGTGCATTAAAACATTTGAGAATTTTTAAACGTATACAGTAACAGAAAAACCCAAAAACTTTATTTTAAATTAGAAAATTCTGCAATAATTTGGATTAATATATACTGATGAAACATTCAAAATGGAGTACATATGCTGTTGTTTCACAAGCATCCTGGAAACCTTTTTTCTATTCTCACTGATAAGTAGCTTGATATGGAATACAAATAATGTCCATTAATGAAAATTCCTAAAACATTTTCAGTATACCAACACTGCAATCTATTTCTTATATCGAAATAAAAAAAACTACATTTTGACATTAATGTGAAGTATGACACTGAACTCTCAGTTATGTGTCCATTGTAAATCGTTTTTTCATAAAAGAATATGTAAAAAACTCACAGCTTAGTCTTGAAATCAAGTTAGAAAATTAACGCTAGTTGATACTTGTAACAGTGTTTGCAGAAATTTTTCAGCTAAAGTAGCAAGACAAGAATAGTAAAGTCGACAAGTATAGAATAGTAAATGTAGCACATGATATCATAGTTACATAAGTTGATATGACCTCTGATGTCATTGCAAATTCAGTCTTCATTGATTTTTTTTAAAGTTATTTTTTTAAGTTACGGACTGTAATTTCATTTAGTTGTTTTAATTATGTATCTCTTATGACAAAAATTTTATGACTATAGTGCTGATTATCCATTGTTTAAACCAGGAGTTCCCAAACCGTATGCCTGCAGGCTATTTAACGGATGGGCGCTGTGCGATCACAATAAAAATGTTTCAGTTTCTGTAAAAATTCCACATGAACGTTTTTTCATATTTCATGAAATAGAAATTACATCCAACATAGATACCAGGACAAAGCTAAATGCGATCGATCTCTTTTTTTTTTTTTTTTTTTTTTTTGGGCGCATGTATTATTAACCTATGTGCATGTATCAAATTGTGCTCAACACGAAGCAAAATGTGAGCAATCTCTCTCTCTGTTTTTTTTTAATGTGCAACTCTATCTATCCAACTATGAAATCACCTTAAAAAAAAAGTAAATGGTGCCTGCCATCCAACAGATATTGTAGAATGTGCTCTTAGCGACGAAAAGGGTGGGATCCCCCTGGTTTAAAACATTCGTCTTTTAATTAATTCTCAGTTAATTTAGATTTTTTAAAAATTAATTTGTTCATATCTATTGTTAAGTGCATCCTCAATTTTTGATTTTTTTTTTTTTTGAGGTGGCAGTTTCTTTTTGTAATTATTATTATTTTTGCTTTATTTTAATTGCTAATGTATTTCAGTGAATTATCCATTCTGTTTGATTCACTTATCAGAAATTTATCATGGCAAGGAGAAGATTTCGCCTGTCACTGGCAAGTACCAAAGCATAAAGCTGGAGTTTCTAATATTAAAAATAAATCGAGTATATGTAACCCACCCAGCATTACATTTTATTACATTTGACAAGTTTACACTTTAAGGACCGCTAGCAGTTCAACAGCATACGCACGTCCGACCGGCCGCTCAGCCGCAGATTCTTCATGTTCAAAATAACTGTCTAGGACAATCTGATAAATCGTCTAAATAAAACTCTCCAGTACCATTTTTTTTTTCATTTTTTTCGCTCAACGTGAACGGCAATTTTTTTAAAAACGGTGTTAAAATGTGGCAGTTTACGAAGCAATGCACTTAACGCAAGTGAGCAATGTACCTCAATACCAATAATAAAATGCAGATGATATAGCAAATGGCAATCTGTTTATCACAATGGCTACCGATTGATAGGCTATTTTTAGGTAGTCTCGAGAAAAAAGAAAAAAGCGATTAATAGGCTATCGGTTGGCAGGCTTTGCCTAAAAAAAGCCGAATTATTAGGCTACCGAGGTTGGTAATGTAATTAATAAATAAACAACAAACAAGTTAATGTAATTACGCATTTGTAATATATTTTTGAATCTCTCATGTTATTCAGTAAGTATTGGTACTATCAAAATTGTATGATTGTATATGGCAAAATATATACTTTCAAAAACTGGCTTATACACGTTAAATGTTTAATCGAAGTAAGTGCAGGGTCAACGTTTTGAAAGGACAGAAACCATAAATCAATCTCGGCTCGGCTCCCTGATGAAGCTAAAAATTTCCGAGAGAAAGCACAGGCAAAGAAATGGAGATGCAGAGGAAAGAACTGGCTAGTTCACTTGCCAAGTGGACTAGCACAAACAGTGATCTTCGGGA